CTTATGAGTTATGTACTATTCTCATTCCGTTGAATTCCGAAAAGCAAAACATGCGAGACATTCTGTACCATTCCTTGCACATGCTTCTCGTTTGAATTTCAACTGATAATTTCTAATAACAAAACCTTTAATATTAATTACTGCAAATATATGTGAATTTAATTTGATTATTAAAACATGCTAACTTGGGATGCTACTGTCCTTTTTGTAATTGGCTACTCAAACTTGCCCAAAGTGCAGAACCAGCAAACGAAAAAAGTGAATTGCGCGAATGTTGTATAGAGGTTGAAAATGACGAACAAACACCGAAAAAAGTGCGGCATTTTGGCTTTTAATATTTTGTGACAGGATGAATTGCGACAGTGGAATATTGGGGGAAAAACTTGGCACTTTCACGAAAACCCCAAAAGAGAAAGGTGTAAGCTACATGCTAGTAACTCAGGCAAAAGAAGTTTTTTTTTAATTAAAAGAAACTTCTCTTGGCAACTAAGAGCTATTTTATTATATTGATTACCAAAATGGTATAAAATGTTTGCGTGTTATGACATATTGCCAGAGAATTGCACTGCCTTTGCTGACGTGTAAAATAATATACAAAAGGGGGCATAATATGCAAGTATGACTTTAGTGCGTTAGAACTGGGCTCTGCGAGCATGCTGTTTGCTTCTAGCTACGGGTTTCAGCTAAGGATACGGCCGGATTGAGTGTTCCGGGTGGGCCCAATAGACAGCAGTGTTCCGCCTACTAGGTACTAACACCAAATTTCACAGTGCTGATTAACACAGGCTGGGGCCTCATAGTTCGTGTTGATAATACGAACTGGAGTTGAAGTTTTCCCCACATCAAGAATTCAAAGACTGATGATGGAACTTTCTTTGAGAGAGCGCGTGAATCCTGCTATAGACTTTATTCACGAGGCCGTCCATATTGAATTTGGAAGCGAGGTAAAATCTTCACTTTTGAATGTTTTTAAATATAAATGAAGCAATAAAATGAAATTTCACGACAAATTTGTACCTGTCTACTCTAATGAATATTTTCAAATTCATGATTAAAAACATAGATTGTACAGTGCCAGATTCTGAAAATTATCGAAAAGGAGGCTTGGAACGCACAGAAGTATACTGCCTAATCGGCAGTTTGCAATATAGAAAACAGATTTGGGGAATAAGATCAAAATGGCCTCCACGTGAATAGGGTGTATTGTGCAGCCCTTCAGATCTTTCTAGGCCCCCAGTGTTTCGTTGGTCCCGACCTCCTCATTAAGCCCTAACACTACGTCCAAGCTTTGATATACACTTTAGATTCCCAGACAAACTGTTTTTCATAAAGGTCGTGCAGGTTTCGACGATTTGGGGGGGACAATGGTGAATTAAAAGTTGCTTGACCATCCATCTTTGCAGTATAAAAAGGGAAATCGATTAAGCTCGTATTTCAGTCACAGATAAGTTGGTATTGAGATCAGGGAAAATTCGTTGTAAAACTACAATCGTCAGGGAAAAAAATCTGTATACAACTGCTTCACGCCAAAATATTCGGGCACTATTTTTGGGAGGCTATTTTTTTTCTCGATTTCTTGCCAGTGTATCTTACATCTCAACAATAAGGAAAAAATCTAAACAAAGAGAAACTGGCTTAGAGTGTGACTGATGCCACCCTCTGTCACCGGATACCTCTTAGTGCATTCAACATGTATGGTACGCTGTACCCCTTTCTACGGGAAAACAAATTTTTCCCAGGCTTTCAACTGCCAATTCAGGCAAATTGGCTTAATCCGTAAAATCCGAGGCCGGAGTACCGGCTCATAATGGGGATGATGCTTCCAGTCACTTCAGACTTCGCACAATTTCACTTGACACCCGACTAATAACTTCCCCGACCTTTCTATCTCTCTCTAGGCACGTTAATTGTTCGCCATTAATTCTGAGGGTCTTCTTCTTCTTGTCCGGCGCTTGAGGCGGAAGGTCCGTTTTTTCCTGAGTGTGAGGTCCGCTCTTGAGTCTATGCTGGAGACAATAGCGGACAATGGAGGCAGGCACGCGACCCCACTTGAGGTGAAGTAACCCAGGGGACTACGAGAGCTTCTCGCCCATACAGTCTTTCTTTCCGGGGTTGGAAAGTAAAGTGGACGCCAGATTAACGGTCGTGGCTCGCGTACACCGCGGCGTGCTGAGATTCACCGCGTCCGGCAACTTCAGCCGCCCTGCCGATGCACCGCCCCCGAGGCCCCGGGACCGCACGCCCGCACAGGTGGGTTGATGGCTCCCTGATTGCCAGGGTATTCGCGCGGCTAAGCGGCCCAGTGCGACGCTGCCAGCGTACGTGGTTCCCATTCTGCCGTCTCCTGGACGGACCATTATCTAGGTATCCCCGATGGAAGCCCTAATTTCGACATTTCTTAGCGATTGCTGCAAGTAATTACCTTTAAAAAGTCGAGTCAGTTGTACCGTAGAGCGCCACCACAGCTAGATGTACATGTCAAATAAGCTTTTTGCGAGTTCAATGCTATACCTCGTGATTTGGGGCAAGCTGTTGCTTAGTTACTACTTGTAGTTAGAGACGCCTTGCACCAATACACTGTTTTCAATGGATAAGCAGGGCACAAAGGAACCAGTCCATTCCATAGACTTCAAGGCCTGTATTCTGATCGGATAGAGCATGAAAGTTGACCTCTGATCAGTGGCGTCTCCAGAGGGGGTGTCAGCCCCGTTGGTTAGTTTTGTCGACAAAATCATGATCTATCGGCAAATAAAAAAAACGAAGAACGGGGAATAAAAATGACAGGAAGTGGGATACAGTGCACTCGTTTTGTGTGACGCTCCAGAGGCAATTTCATGTGGTACCCTCCCCCCCTTCAAAGTGGTTGAGCGACACCAGTGCCTTTGATGTCGCGCTTCCGGAACCCTTGGATAGAAAAAATAACGCGCACAAATTTTAGCGTCTATTCTAAAAATGTGGCAATTTAATCTAAACTTATTTTCATTCATTTACTTCTTAAAGGAAATCACCCCCAAAAAGGCCTTTGAAAAATATTTACTGGTCTATTGAATTTTTAGAAGATTTATAGAAAGTGAGAAATTGCATAAAATGAGAGAAGAGCCGTTTTGTGAACTCGAACGCAGATGAAAAGTTACACGACAAATTTGATAGTGTGGGTAAACTTGAAATAAACAAAAAAACTGGTGAACAAAAAGGGCTTGCAGTTTGAGAGAATAATCTATTTGCATAATTCAAATTGTAGAAACTTTGTGATGTCTTATTTAGGCTGTGCTGACACAAATTGCATCATAGCAGCCCAAATGAATCTACAACCCACCGAGTGTAGGGAGGTAAATCTTCGCAACCTTACACAACCTCATCCTTCTAAGCATTTCAGAATTTGATAGGACTGCGTGCCTCATCCCGAAGGTGGACCGAGCAAAGGTTCCAGAAGCTCACCGAGTGACCTTTCCCTTTCAGTTTACAAGGATGGAGTGTTAGTAAAATATCATTCTAAAGGAACTGTGAATCTCCTGCACTAAACCGTTGGGGAAGTAGACAACAGTGGCAAAAATAAATGTTACCGAGAACATTTTCAACTGTCAAACTGCAACTGTTTCCTGGCGACGGACGGAGCATACTGTCTGAAACATTGAGTACTATACCGGTTCTTTTCAGAGCGCCACAGACTCAAAAAAAGAAAAGATATATTCATGGTGCTACCGCAAACCTATCTAGTTTGCTCATTTCAAGTTTGAAAATGGATTTGCAGGGATTTCGGGCGAAGGGCGCCTCCAACGAGCTGGAATTCGCGAGCTTTGCGAAAAACAACCGGTTTTGCTTTTCAAGTGGGAAGTGTATCAGTGAATTTGAAACAAAACCCTGAGAACCGTTGGCTGAGTCCGGGTGGCTTGTCCTCAGATGTGTTCACCAACAGTTTGATTTGTTGTTCTTGTGTAGGCCGCTCGAACGACGGGAACATACGTACAATTGGTCATCGCTGGTAGTCACATGTAGGCCTAGTGACAAGCAACATGCAACATGGCGGCGTCCATGTACGTTATTCGAGAGTTAATGCTTGGATAACTGGGCTTAATTCTTTTCTATTTAAAGACGAACGTTCACTGCTGTGTTACGGAAAATATTTTATGATAATTTTGCAAAACTTCCAATTGTCTCCGACTTTGTAAGCCATCTCTCTGTTGTTTGCAACTGTTCAAAAATCAAAATCTCCCGAGTTTTTCCGTGTGTTCCTGTAAAACCCCGACGAGGAGGTGCTGTGAAAACGTGGTATTCCGTCTTGGGTCGTGTTCCCGCCCTTCAAGCGCAAGAACAAGAAAACCATGTCAAGAACAGGCCGCCCAAACTCTACCATGTGACAATCTGACGAGGTTGGGCGGGGAGCGGGGGGGGGGGGCTTTGCAGATGCCCTGCTCAACCATCGCACCTCATTATGACCTAACATGACGTGCTTTCATTAATGAGATTTCAATACGGGTGTTTCGCAATAGTGCGCCTCCGAGCGTTTGCAACGCGTCGACCAATGACAATGCGCGAAATCTGTTGACCCTTGCCGAACGCACATTGGGTCGACAGATTCGCGCATCGTGACTGCCGGGTCTGCGCGTTGCAAACTCTTGGAGACGCACTATTGTGAAACGCCCGCATAGGAGGGCATTTATTTGATTCAGCTACAATCTTTTTGTGTTATAGCTACAGATTTACCCACTTCTAAAAACTCCCTCTAAATGTGTTCGAAAAGGCTAAATTTGCGATTTGCACAATCCCAAGGACGAATGGCCAATAATGAAGAGTTTTATATACATGTACGTCCGTGCACTATCTGCAGAACCGTAACACCGTGGGTACGAATCACAGATACGAATGTCACCAACAACTGCTGTTATTATAGCGCCCTCTTTATCAGAAAAAAAATCTCTGGCTATTGGTCTGATATCCAGACTCGTTCCTGTCTTTTGAAAGCGCAAGAAGTAGGGGTACTGCCTACAGTGAACCGTGCGTTGGTGCGTGCGGCAACATTGATGGGACAGGGACCCAAATGCGCCCTGGCGCTGTTAGAAGCCTCAACTAACTATTTGAATTTTCAACTTCACCATTTTCAGAACGCTACCAATGGATGGACCAAGTAACAAGATTCACATCTGTAATCTCTCTCCCGCTGCCAGCCACCACAAAATTTCTCGTATATTTAGAAAATTTGGTCAGATTACAAAAGGTAGGCTCACGCTATTCACTAGTCAGCTAGTCACAGAGATGTATGCCCCCTCACCCATGTCAGTGTGACCATGGTGGTGAGACCATGGTGTGACCGACACCATAAGCCTTAGGCTTATTGCTGATACCACATGGATAATTTTTGCACAATGTTAGAAAGGCATTGTGGGAAGGAAAAAGGAGCAAACATTGCCCTGTTGTCTTGATTTTTTTGCACAATTAAAATGTGCTGTAGGTCTAAGTGGAGTTGTGCCACTACATAAAGCTTTGTGAAATTGGCTGCGGGTATTGTAAGATTTAAATTCCCTACTATTTAGGAGATTTGGATTCGGACAGTGGTCAGAGTAGTTGCAGAATACCCCACCACTCTAAAAAAAAAAATGACCCCTGGAATGACTGGTTACGTGGGTACAAGGTGAAATTCCTTGAGAAGAGTGTGACACCTTGACCTGTACATGTACCTGGCTATGAGGTTGATCATGCAGGGTGGTGGGGTATTCTGCAGTCGAGCGCAGTAGCCGATGTGTTTATTTGCGATGTAGGCCTAGGTTTACGGGTATGTGACATGAAGAAAAATACTTGGGGTCTTCGCTTTCAGCGATCACTACATGAATGTCGCCCAGAGGCGGCTGACACTGGATATTAGGATGTAAGTAGCTCCAAGAGTATGCATTTAGCCATGCTAGCCGAAACATGGGCCACTACACAAAATATTGGCAAGGTGGAGCCCGGCCGAAAACATATCCTGTGGTTCTGTACTTGACGTCATTGTCATGAGTTTTGTGTCCTCTTTTTCTTTTGGGGGGATCCAGTTTTCGTACAGCGTCAGGGTGCGACATGGGATTGCGGCGGCCAGGCCTACATTGCCTACGCAGACGTCAACGGCGCTGCCAAAGCAGCCGAGGAAATGGACGGAGAGGTAATAAGTCACAGTGATTGACAATACGGTTGAGTTTGGGCGGCCTGTTCTTGACACGGGTTCTCTCGTTGGAACAGCGGGACCACGACCCAAGAACACTGCTCTTGGAACAGGTTCACACACTACCTCCTCGTTAGGGTTTTACACGAACACTGGGAAAAACTTGTGAGATTTGATTTTTTAACAGCTGCAAAAACTATCGAGATGGCTTACAAAGCTGGACACAATGGAAAGTTTTTGCAAAATTAACAATAAGTTTCCATTGCAGATGTGATTTTTTTTCTTTAATGGAAAATAAGCTAGCCCAGTTATCCAAACATTAACTCTCGAAGAATGCACAAGGACGCTGCCACGTTGCATGTTGCTTGCAGCTACAAATAACTAGTAGCAATAACCAGTTGTACGTTCCCAGCGTTCAAGCAGCCGACCCACAAACAATAAATCAAGCTGTTCGTGAAAATACGAGAACAAGCCGCCCGAACTCAACGTACACGGACGTCAATAAAGTGCGCCACCATGCATTGGACATCCGATATCCAGGGGGTTCATGGGAAGCCTATCTTCCTCCCCAACTAACAGGGCTGTGGCATATAAACTGGGGTGAAATTTGAATGGGAGAGATGACCTCTGGATCTATATATGAAGATGTACAGATTTTCGTTTTTGGAAGGAGGCCACTTGAGGCAAATGAATCGCATCCTCTATGTGGGAAGCGTTCATTTCAAAATTTCAAATTGGGAGAACTGATGTCTGCGGGGGGGGGAGCATAAATATAGTGCTGCTTCAAGTACAAGTCCATGTCTACATTTATTTTCAAGTTAGCAAGCATCTTTTGTGTGCAGACAAAATGTTAAGTTAGGTTAAACATGCTAGCTCTGAGGATGTCGAGAGGTCTTGACCCTAAGACCTTTGATGGAGGGGTCAGTTTGGATGGCACCGTCAGCGCAATTAGAAGTGGCATTTGAGTGGGTATTTGAGAATGTGGCCAGTGATGATGCTATAGAGGTTCTGCAGGGCAGCCATTTTTCCAGTAAGAGCTTTTATTGCACAGGGGCACACGTGCGTAGACCTTTTGTGCTATCCCTCCGCGACAAAAGCAGTTACCGAAAAGATGGCTGCCATTCTGAACCTCTGTGGGAAAGAAGGGCTGTCCTTTGTTTGAAATTAAATCCTTGGGCTCCCCCCAAAAAAAACAAAGTGAGAAAAAAGTTCCTGTCTGGTCTCTGTGCACTTTTCAGATGTTTGATGAGGCAATCATCTCAGTCCGGCTGGTCTCACACCAGGAGTTCCTTCAAGGAATGCAGATTATGTATGCATTATCCAGCCAGCCCTGTGGTGATACGTCCTGGCCAACGAGAAACCACAAACTCATGTAAGACCAGCCAACTCCTCTCCGTAGTCGTCGGGGACTACTCTCTATTTGAATGACTACGGGGCTGTAGGGACCCCAAATGCTTTAGTGACAACCGCAAGTCCTGACCAGATTTTCTGACAAAAAATCAAAGTGGTTCAAACATTTTAGCAAACCTGAATGCAACCCAGTAATTCCAGGATGCAGCGTGAGATTTATCCGGGCACAAATCTACGTGTAGGCTGAAATTAGATGGACCATTCAGTTTAATTTAGGGCTGTGCCGAATATCACTTTCTGAATTTGAATATTTGAGTGCAAAATTCATGAAAAGGAAGGGGACATTTTCTTTTATTTTAAATAAGAAAAATGGCTCTATGAAGACTTGTTTCAAGCAGATTTTAATGAAAAAGCGACAGAAATCTTACGGTTGAAAAAATGACTTATTCATTAAAAATTTACAAGGAACAGAAAGTTTCAAAAGGACAAAGAGTTTTGTTTGTCTCTTAAATCTTGCTTAATCGGGGCTGGAGATACTCCTAGACGTGAGCGCTATTATAGTGATTATAATGTACAATTGTGTGTGATATTGCAACAGATTTTTGTATATGGTTGGTTCATCACGATCCTGCCTGTCGGTACTACCGAGTATTCCGATATTCGATCAATTGAAGGTCGAAGATTTGAAGAGTGAATTATGTGAATTGACTTGGCCCTTGTAAAATTGAAAAAAATACCAAAACAAACTAATAGCACGTTCTAACACTTGTGCTTAGTGTATGAAGGAACCCATCTGTAATAATTTGCCTTCCGGCATGTGCACATGTGTACTGTTTGCCTTTATTTTTCAAACTTGTTTTGTTCTTCAGAAAACCACCACCCAAGACCAAATTGACACCCAAGGATATAGCGTTAGCTCCAAACTCAGAGTGGGAACCTTACATACCTCCGACGACTGTCCAGCTAGTCTTGGACGAGGACCCACGACTACCGGACGGTGCCTTTCCCAACAGTCGCGAACCCCCGTCAGTCAAGAAAACCTTGAGTAAAATGCTGTCACGGGCTAAAAGTGCCGAGGTATTGCGTAACGAAGACGCACACGGGGTCACCTCCGGTCGCAGTTCGCACCCACGGAAGGAGGCCAAGCCGCGGAATCGCAAGATGACGCCTTGCGGCACGCATCGAAACACTGCCAAAGACCCACCACACTCTGATAGAACCCGTCGAGGGGACCAGCATGGTCAGTCCATTGATCGGTACAGTTTCCTGCGTAGGAGGATGGCCAGTGACCCATCACCCCATGGATCACTTGACAGAGACCGCTATGGAGACCTACACGTAACCTACCGAGACACTATACACAACCCGCCCAGGTCCTACAGTCCTGATCCGTACAGCAAACCCTCAGAAGACATCAGGGCTCATTCACCAGACGATCCAGTTAACGTACCAGAACCTCGTTCTCAGCCACCGAGTGATTACAAGGGTAAAAAATAGGCTACATCGGAAAGTTGTGGCTACGGCTTGAAAATGATACAAGTACCTATGAAAGGCACTAGCTAGTGGCTGCAATTTTTTTCCCTTAGAGTCATGCAATACTCCTAGCCGCAGCCCATCGATTCAGACATAGCCAGACTTCCATAGTGTGTAGTCTCTGCTCACAGACTAGCAAGGGTGCAAGAGCCCTCCCTTTATATTATAAATGTACATCTTCTAGGGTGGTTGGACATCAGGCAAGAACTTAGAGCATTGGCTAAGTTGCTGTCCTCTGCTGGTTCTACCCATGAACTTGTTGAGGTCATTCACAAATCATGAGGTGCAGTGACATGCCTGCAAATTCACAGAAGCCAAAAATGAACACAGAGAATATACGAAGGTGCACACGTGCAAGACCGCACAGTTCCCAGATGGGGTTCACCTGATTGCAGAAAACCCTTTGGATTCAGGGTTTTTTCAGAAAGTAAGGAGTCTTCAAAAAGTGTTCATGGCCCTGTGGTTTGAAGAAATGTTCAGTTCTAGAGGTGGGAGGAAAACTTTTCGGGGGAACCCACAGAATTGGCACGGGGACTGAAAAACCCAATCTGCACGTTATTTACCTTGGGATTCGAACCCAGGTCGCAGAGGTCACGACTGACAAGGACAAAGGTCGCAGAGGTCACGACTGACAAGGACAAAAAGTGCCACTGCACCAATCTGTTTACCCACCTGCGTCAATTCCAAGGCACTCGTTCTGTTAGGGCCATTGCTTTCACTGATTTGTTTCCCCTCTGGCTGAACAGATCGTCTTTCACCTGAAGGTGACAGAAGAGTCTATGACTGGTATGACGCACCCAGGGGTAGAGATTGCGAGTATGAACGGTTGCCGGCCACCAGCTACAGAGGTAACATTCTTTTGTTGGGGGTGGGGAGGGAGTCGCTTTTCCTGACATGTATTTTGGTGATTGTCGATGCTGCCAAAATAACGAGAAGCAAGCACAAGATATGCTGAGAAAAGTTGAGTTTTGCTCTTTCTTCTCCACACGGGAGCAAAATTGCCAGACATTAGAAATGGCGTCAAGACTCACTTTGCAGAGTCTGTGTACCTGTGCTTTTATTCGAACACTGGTTCTCTGAAAGTTACCAGAAACGTTGTGCTTTTTCACAACACATTGATGGATTTGCCCGCACAGACAGTCTCACTCTAGACACGTAGACATTTATGGGCGGAGCAGTTTGAAAATAAAGCTTCAACATGAGGTCATGTGTGAGGTCATGAGGTCATGTGAACATTTTGTGTCCAAAACCGTGGGTTGTTTAGAAAGGGGCTGCATCAATAGTTTTAGACAATGATATACGCGCCGACCTCCACCCCAAAAAATTATAGACCACCCTCCGCCCCTAGTTTTTTGGGCTATAAAAATTCAGAGTCAAAAGAAATATATTATCCAATCCACCGTCCTAATTTATTTTTCAGTGTAATAGGAGACAACCAACTACAAATAGCAACTGGTCATTGCATTGTTTTCGGTGTCTTGAATTGGCTACTGTAACCAATGTGAACACGGCATGAAGCAATAAACAGTGATAATCCAGCAGCTTACAAAAAGGCTGATTATAATCAGAATCTGGACCGTTGTGTGGCTAGAGATTTCAAGCAAATTGCAAATCAAGATTCATCTTTCATTTTACAGAGCGATCACCTCTCAGGCATCACTGGGACACGGATCCCCCACCCAGTACCTCCACGCTCAGAGAGCTCTCTGACGACCACTCTACAGGTATGACCAATACTGGGTCGAGAATAACGAGACGCTCCAGGGTCTGCTCAACAGCCATCGAGGGCACAGTGCGGGCTTCTCCTGGGACCGCAGCATGGCTGCTAGCCTGTGTTGAGCCGCAAGTTTACCGTCTGAAACGAATGACAGTTTTTGGTGGCTGAGATTGTTTAAGATTTCAAAATCTATCGGCGCAAAAGTGCAGTGATTTGTGATCCAATCTATGAAAATGAGTCACGAGTCCCCAAAGTCGCTCTTTAGTTGCAGTTTTTTTTAAAATCTTCGATTCACAGTCGGTCTGACCTGACCTGACCAGCCGAGTCCTAAGACCTTTTTTTTATGATTCATTTTGTTTGTATTAGAAAGAACAAATCTGACTGACTGACCAACTAACTATTTGACTGACCGACTGTGTCAGGTCAGTCAGGTAGGTTGGTCAGGCCAGGCAAGGTCACATCTGGTCAGTCAGATTTAGTTAAAACCAAATGCCCTTAGGACTTGAGTGGAGAGGTCCCATCCCATTCGTTCCCATTGCATTTATGCACATGTACCTGTGGCAGTGTATGGATGATATCAAATTCTGGGAAACTTGAGAATTGACTTCCCACCAGTAAGTGTTATGACGGCCCCTTTTATATCCGCCCCAAGCTGAGGTGCACCCCCAATTGGCGGAAAGAAAGGCAGGTGGTTACAAGCGGGTTCTTGCGCGCGTTCTGCTCATACGCAAAGACCGTACATGCCAGAGTACAATTGAGTACTAAACGTGCTCCGCGTCAAACACGCATATACTTGCGCGCTTCATGGCGCCTATGCGGTGAGTGCCAAAAAACACGCCCTCTTTTGTTCCGCTCGGAGCGGATACTGCCTCAAGTTCATCAGTTACTTGCACATGGTCATAAACATTCAGCTTGGGTTGGTTTAGCCCAGAGTTCAGGAAGGAACTGGATCACTTTCAGTCTGAAACATTAGTCTGAATGGAGGTTCCCGCTGTGTTTTTTTTTCATGGAACCCTACCAGTGCAACGCCTCTGTTCCTATGACGACGACCTCTGGCGAGACACCTACATAAGAGATTCCTCTGCCCGAGACACCCAGGTGGCATTCGACTCCAGGGAGGAGAGACCCCACTTGGAACCGGTTGAGGACAGGTACAGGGAACCCAGCAGGCTGGACGACTGGGACTATCCACCAGAAAGTGACCGACTCACAAGCACAGTTTATGGGGATGGGGACCAGTCGAATGACAGGCGCCACCAAGACCCTGAAAGGTTGGTTTTCATTGCAACCTTGTTAATGTTAAGTTTCTCACACACAGCTTTGGCCTGAACATTGCAACTAGCTATCGACTCCCCAGGGAGCTAGGATGGTTTTAGAAATTTGGGGAACCTAGTAAGCAAGGATATTAGTAATATGTAGTCAGGAGCATAGTGACGGGGGGGGCGGTTGGCAAATAGAGCTTCAGTCAGCAAATGAATCCAACATCGGTACATAAACGATATACGTTGGCCACTTGCATTTGCTTTGAAGCAGAACATGTAGGATAACAAGGATTTCCATTTTGCACAACACGCGGTTGGCAAACAAGTTAAAAGTCAGCAAATTGACTCTGGCACGTCCCCTGCCCCCCCAAAAAAAGAAAATTCCTTCACTACGCCCCTGCATATTGTTGGACCAGTGCCTCCTGAATGATAGATGGGTTGGATCATTCAGAACCAGGCCCTGAGGCACGGTCGTATCACTGGCTAGCGATTACCGCTTTTGCAATGAAGTGCATGTACAGAGAAAAATTGTTGGCATGAAAATAATTGTAAGAAGCCGAACTTACCGAGTGATGTTCACTGCCTTGAGTTTATGTTTGTCTAGCGAAGGCATTCCTTCGTTCTTATTCACTTTATTATGAAGGAAAGTTGATGAACAATATTCATTTTTCTTGCACTGTGAACACTCCTTTGTGTGCGATCTTTTGTTGACGGTGTCGTAGTTTATTTGTCGTCATTTTGAAACAAACACCGAATACCGTGACCCTCTTATGCCTCTAAAACTGTCTTGCACAGAGGGGGTAACCTTGAGTGGAGCTTGGTCAATCTGCACAATGTTCGCACAACTTGCATTTACCCTCCTATGCTGAAGTCACTCTTTGGGTCACTTGGAAAACACCTCAAAGAAGCACAGCTGTGTTGTGTTGTGCACTGCACCTACACGCAAGAGAGTGACCTTCGCCACTTGTGCATATTTGTGCTGTAAAACCAAAGGAGGGTTAATGTACAGACCCTTTTTGTTAACCACTTCGGGCCAGGGGCATTTATAAATGTTGATTCTGCTGGGTCGCAGTATTTTTCATTGTTTTCTTTTTTCAAAATTCTTTCAAAATTCATTTCTTCATTTACTGGACACTTGCACCCACACGAAGGACTGTCTGGTTTCTACTCTAATCTGACAGACAACATCTGTTAACACTGGAGTATTTTAGCCAAGCCGGTTGCCTTGTACAAAGAGCCTAGATTGTGCGTCGTTATGTAATTTTCTTGTATTCCTGAAAATTGGTACAGTGCGCTGCAGACCTCTTTTCAATAGGGGCCAGATTAGCATGCAGCGGTACCGTGTGGCTCATCGCTGCGGCGGTGGAGCGCTTTTGCCCCTGGTGGTAATCCGCTTGCAATGAATGCGACGAACAGTGGTATACTATTTCATAACAATGCTGGATCATCTTCGCTATTGTCAGTGAAAAAATGTTGGTAATTCCCAGCAGCATGGTCTTTGGTTACGAGTTCGGTCTTTTGTTACAGCGCTCAGTTCCCTTTGTCCGATTTCGGACACCCCAGCTGATCATATAAAGAATACGTGTCCGAAATCCGGCTCCCCGGCAGCAAGTGGTTAGGTGGCCCACTAGGTATGTAAGGTTGGCGCACCTGTACTGGTGGATAGGCATGCATTATAAACATTTCTCATGTCTTATTCTTACTTGTGGTAGAGTACCATTCCAGGATTCCCGAACACTCGGGATCGACAGGCCAACCTATGACTACAGCCTGGAGGGCACCTTTGGAGCCGACCGGCCCACGTATGACTACAGTCTAGTGCCACTTGCCTGTCCAACCGACATCATAGACGAGGGCTAAAAAATCCTGACGAGAGTGACTCGCGTCTTGGGCAATTTGGCATTTGAAGTTGCCTTTGCTTTATCAGAAGAATAGACGCAGCAACTTTCAATCACATCAACGCCTACTTCTGCTCAAATTGCGGGCTCCTACCCAGGTCTCCTGGGTAGTTTTTGCTCGCATGCAATACAAGGAGGAGCATACCACACGGAATGAGGTTGCCCTTTTCCCACAGGAAAGTACATTGGTGTATCTTACATCCGGGGTAGCTGCGCGCTGCTGTTTTATTCAGTTTTATTTTCAATCGACTTGCAGAGTCCCCAAGGCAGAAAGCAGGCATTTAGAAAAAGCAAAACACACCTTGACAACCAAAAGTGATCAGTTTCTAACAGAAACTATATACCCAGCAAGAAATGAGACCGAGGGGTACCCCCCCAACATGTCCAATCCCTATAC